CCCACCTGGAGTACTGCGTCCAGCTCTGGAGCCCTCAGCATAAGAAAGACACAGACCTGTTGGAGCGGGTCCAGAGGAGGGCCACGAAAATGCTCAGGGGGATGGAACACCTCTCCCATGAAGAAAGGCTGAGAGAGTTGGGGCTGTTCAGCCCAGAGAAGAGAAGGCTTTGGGGAGACCTTATTGCAGCCTATCAGTACTTAAAGGGGGCTTATAAAAAAGATGGCGGCGAACTTTTTAGCAGGGCCTGTTGCGACAGGACAAGGGGGAATGGCTTTAAACTAAAGGGGGGTAGATTTAGACTAGGTATAAGGAAGAAATTTTTTACGCTGAGGGTGGTAAAACACTGGCACAGGTTGCCCAGAGAGGTGGTGGATGCCCCATGCCTGGAAACATTCCAGGTCACGTTGGACGGGGCTCTGAGCAACCTGATCTAGTTGAAGATGTCCCTGCCCATGGCAGGGGGGTTGGACTAGATGACCTTTAGGGGTCCCTTCCAACCCAAACTATTCTATGATTCTATACTTGTTGGGGTAATTTACCATTCTCCTTCCAAGGTGGAAATCTGGCAAAAACAGCCTCTGTAAGTGTACCATGAATCTGAAATACTGCCAAAATTAAGGTAAAGATGACTTTATCTAAGGTAAAGAACTAGCACATTCTATATTTATTAAACAAACTCAAATTACATCTCTCATATAGCATTGCCTTTAATTTAGTTTGTGACTGAGGGATGCGTTTCAGCAATTCAGATGAAGGCTGGGGAAAAAGAAGTACCAAGCTGGATGTTGCTTTAGTTTTTCTGCTTTACTCTGTGTGTAGAGTCCTGATGTGCACATTTCATTCAAATAGTTGCACACCAGTGTGGGAACATTTGGCCAGCATAGCCTAGAAAGTAAAAATATAATCCAGACCTGGGTTGGGAAGGGATCCATGTTTGCCTAGCAAAAGGAGACATTTCATAATCACAATTGCATTATGCTTAGTGCCTAGTTCAGCTCAGTGTTTTTCAGTACTGTATTCCAAATACCCGTAGCGGTATGGAATCGTGTGCTTCACAGGCTCTCAACTTCTTGCTACACTCTGAGTATGTTTTCTGACGGCAAGTTATCAAAGTACTGAGGGTTAGCAAGCTAGTGCTTACAGGGCAAACCACTCAACTGAGCATGTATATACTCCATTAATTGTGAACTGAAATGTATTGGACTTAATCCATTTCACCTAGTCTTGCAATTGCAAGATCAAGCACATCAAGTCTTGCAATTGCAAGATTGTTGTAATCATGTACATCATGATTCACAGGGTTCAGGTGATGTGTGTAACTTACTGTTGGCAATAACTTGATCTCTTATGATCAGGTGAACGTAACTGAATGTCTTGGAAAGAACAACAAGGCTGGGAAAGGAGAGTGAAGGAACATGTGGTCTCACAAAACACGTTTGCATTTGAAATAGCGTTCCTCAAAGTTGATTATAAAATGAAAATGAGAGTGTGGGGAAGCATGGATGGATTTAACTGCGGACCAGATGTTGACTTGAAAAATTATAACAAAAAGCAAAGTACATCTGTTTGTGAAATCTGGAGAAATGTTTTTCCTTCAAGGAAGGCATACATATAGATAAGGTTGCTCAAGTAATGTGATGTGACAGTTGCTATGTCAACTAGTATTGCCTTCCACACATTTAAATTATTGAATAGCACAGTAAATGTTCTATAAAAGTAGCTCCTTAGAACATGGTTATGCATCTTCCTCTTTTCCTCAAAGATTTTTAAAACTTTTCTGACCTTTACTATGTGTGTTGTATGTGTCTGAACTATGTGCCAAACCTCTGTGCAGCTGCCATTAAAGTCAGCATTTGGCCCATTATGTCCCCTTTGTCTGACTCAGCTCCCTTTGTAGCTGCATGTTTCATGGATGTGTAATGGAGCAGTGGCTGCTTGCATTTGAAAGCAGAGTGAAGGGATTGAGGGAACAGATTGAATCCATCACAGAAAGAGTATGAAACTCCCATGCAAGTAAGTGCATAATATTTAATGAATTGAATCTGGTGCTATAAACAGGCATCTGCCCTTGCGTGCAATACTTTCTTCATTGTTAACCCAGTACACAAAGTGTAATGCTTTTTGGCACATGCTTTAATAATTTATTTGAAATATAAGTTAGCTAAGTGGAATCTCCAGCGTTAAAGCCAGTGGGAGCTGGTAAAAGCTGAAGCAAAAAGGGAAACTAACCTGTGTGCATCAGCGACATTTGTATAACCTGAGGCTAAAACAGGTAAATGATGAATCCTGTTAAAGCCATTTCACTTCTTTGTGTGTGAATTTGTCTCTGACTCGTAGATGGTTTTTAACTTTCTTGTGTTTGTCCCTAGCTGCCCTATTTGAAGATAGTAAAGATACTGATGTTCTTGAGCACTCCTGAAATTGTGGCCATGTACTTTCTTTAGGTGGATGTCACCACTGTATGGATAATAAAAGTTCTTTTTGCTGAAATACTTGCTGCTTGATGTGTTGGTGGTCATAAATGGTCAAATTTCTGTGTTTATTCTAAAACCTAATCTAAATCCTTAAAATCGAGCCTATATACTTTGAAATGACCCTGTGTTAAAACTTTTCTTTCTGAACAAGGCTTGGGAACAATTTCAGTGTCACTGTTGCTGCTTCAGTCTTTCTCTTGTAAATCTAATGGCAGGCAATGAATTCTGTAGATGAACATGTAGGAGTAGGGTTTAAATACTTGTTTCTGCATATGTGAAAAATTCAGGAAGGATGGGAAGAAGTGGGGTGCAAGTTTTGCATAGCACCTACACAAGGACCTGACTTATGTGTAGGCTGGTCACACACTTTTGCTTCAGGGCAAAGTGTATCTTATGTGTGCATATGTCTGTCCTTTGTTGATAGAACATATTCTCTGTATGCATCTGAACTTCCGCGAATATCTGTCCATGCAGAGATTTAGGAGTCTGTACTCTAAAGGTACAGATATATAGAAATTCAATCACATACGCAGCTGAAAAGCTATTTGACAAACCGGATATAAAAACTTTTGTGTTGGACTTGTGTGGGTGCAAATACGGGCATGTATGCATGTGGACAGGGGAAAGTCTGAAAGAAACTTCAAAAATGTAATCTTTAGCTAGGTAGCACTCCTTGTCCCAAATGCCACTCAAGCTTACTATGCTACCGAACAGATATTATGCAGGAAGTGCTTTATTCGTATGGCACAAGGGTTGTCACACCAAAGTCACATCAATTCCTGAGAAAAATTACCTTCACTCGATGCCTCATGTGGTACTGAAAATTGGATATCAACGGACATGGAGGTGAAATTGAAATACAGTCGTCGTTCTGCTGTCTCACAGCAGATCAAACTGGAGTCAGCTGGAGGGAGAAGTAGATCTGAGGCTGTTTGTGGAAGGGTTCAGAACCAACTTTGTATTTATTTGCAGGTAATGTATTCCCCTGTATTTTTCTTTTTCTAGTTTTGGCAGTTTATTTGAACCAGTGTTGGTGGCCTGTTGAAGATGTAGTAAAGACGACTGATCCTTCTAGAGCTGGGCTACTTTCGGTAAGGATGCTATTTTAAACAGTTGCCTTTACCCTGGAACTTTCCAGCTAGAACAATCATGTAATTGTCTCTGATCTCCTATAGCTCATGCTTATAACCTGTGGGATCTGGGCTTTGTGGCTCACCAAATACTTCACATGTCTCCCATTGCACAGTGACATGCACGTTAACCCTCTCCAAACAATTTTGTGCATGCAGTTTATGATTCATCTGTGGGATTTACTAGTTTTTGTTTTTAGTTTACCCTCACTGTCTACTAAAGAAATAATCAGATAAACCGAATTACCTCATTAGCAATAACTCTTCACGTTACAGTGTTGCTTGACTGTCTGTCTGATGTTACTAACCTTTGGAACAATGTCTTATCTAGCTGGTTATAATTTTTTTTTGCCTTGAATAATGTTTGTATTGTGTTCATTTTATGAAACGGTTGTTATTTAATAGTTTCTATATCTGTAATTCTTTTTCCAGATAAATTATCTTAGTAGGATGCAACTACTTTTTCGTAATTTGAGACATTTGGGTAGCCTGTAGTCTGTTTTCAACTAAGAAGTCAAGATGCCTACTACATGTGAGCTTTGTGTTGCCATGAGGCTATTAAGTCAGTTCTGTTTCCTACCCAACCCTCTGTGTCCAGCTTTGGTCCTTAATGATTCTGTTCCTTC